CATTCCTTTGGTAATGAAAATTTTGAAAGGAATATCGATTGAAGCAGCAAGTGGAAGAAGGAGTTCTGTTACAAATATGAGTTTGTGAGAGAAATAGGTTTAGTAAAGTTAGCTGACATTTTTTGATGGAAACTAGTTTAATAATTTGATTTATGCAATTGTGAGGAATAGTTGTAGGATGATTTTTCATGATTCACATCATTGTGCTAACATATCATTTTTTGATAGACATCTGGATTTATGCTTACATAACCCCTTCTTCTATTCCAACCTGACCTGACATGTAGACAATAGGCACATATAGCTCCTTTTATTGATTCCTTGATGTTAAATGTAACAGCACCTTCTACCACTGTGTATCTGCTCAGATATGAAGAATTCAAACAAATCCTGAGGGCCAAATTACATATGTACCTTCTATGACTAAACGGTATATTTTCAGAAAATGTTGACCTCTTCTTCCACTTGCCCCTTCAACTGCTTGAATCCATCGCAATAGTATACCTAAAAAAACAGTGAATTTTTGATTCTGAATCATTTGGTTGTAGAGTAGAAATAGGTACATTCCTGGAAAAAATAAATGATCAAGAATTATATTCCCTAAAAAGTAAGTCAACTATATTTTTACAAGGTGTCCCAAAAACTCAACGTCATCCTCTCCAGGGCTGATAGTCCAGCTAATATGACCTTAGTAAAATAATGATAGTTTTGAATTTTGTGAAAATCAAAACCTTTGATCAGTATTTCCAGTACAAAACTACATAGTTCATGATTCCAGTTTAGTTATGCAATCTGTAATAACCCTTTGAGCTATTGATTATAATCCAAAATTTCAAAATAAAATGAATCCAGAATGAAAAAAATTATGCAATACCAGCCTGAGTGAGCTAATTATTTTTTATTTCATTTATTCACAGGAAACCTCATAAAAAAATATACATGAATCTAGACATGAATATATACATTTATTCACTATACATATATCCCATAAATCTCAATAACCTTTGAAACAAAGATCTGAAAAGTGTTCTTAAGCTGTTTAATGATCATTTTCCTTACACTTTCAATCTCTTTTCAATAGGTGAATGTTAATTGTAAACATTAAAATAAATCAACTGGTGAATCAGCATGTTTTTTTTTGTCCATGGGTATTGCACCAATATTTTTATTTTGAATTGTAATCAATAGAAGGGTTATTATTACAGGTTGCATAAAAAAAATAGAATCAGTTTTGAACTTAGTTTTGTACTTGTGACTTGTGGCACTCAAAATACTGATCAAAGATTTTATTTTCACAGAATTCATAAAAGTGGCAATATCTCCAAAACTTTCAATAATCTACTGAGGTCATATTGTGATAATCTGGTCAGTTCTGAGCTTCAATATCAGCTCTTCGAAGAATGACGTTGAGTTTTGGGAAACCCTGTATAAACCCTCCATTTCTCATTCTGAAGCCAACCTTTCAATGACATGAGTCTGCTAGTGAAACCTTGAGAGAAGCTAACCTGGAATCAGTATCTGAAATGTCCGAGGAAATGTCTCAGGGATTTCATAGTGCAAAATTTAAAATTCTACTCATACCTTCATACCTAGAGGCAGCAATTCTCTGCTTCTCAACAGTGACATGATATTTCAACTCTTGAAAGTGATGCCACCACTTTCTCATTTCATTTTAGTTATTTCAACTTGATTTTCAATCATCACCAAATATAGCAAACCTAAAACAAGAAATAAATGGGTAGGTACATCAGCAGGTAGAGAACACAATAATGAAAAACATTATTCACTTTCATGATGAACTGTAGGATTGGAACTATACTCAAACTCATTCTCATAGATTCAACTTAAGGTTGAAGGTTTTAATAATATTCACAGGAGTATTCACATGAGTACTTAAAATATGTAAAAATAAGAAGTTATAGGAACCCCTAAAATTATAGGAATAGGTATTATATTTTAATCAAACCTTAGATAATTATAGATTTCTCTCCTCATATTATCTCATCAAATAAAGGTGGACAAAAATCCTTCCAGAAATGGTCACAATATCCAGACATATTTGGGACCTTTTTCTGATTTCAATCACTGTGGACATCTCACATTGTATATTCACTAGGTACCTAGTTCTTAAGGCTCAGCAGAAAACTGAAGCAGTAGTAATTATACTTTCCTTGAGTTTCCATAGATTCGAATCTGAAAGATGTGGATCTTCTCCTTGATAAACATGTTTTCCTGCATACAAGGTAGTATTCAAGATACAAGATAAGATCTGTGGATAAGATTCTTCATGATTCCTTTCTTTATATTATAACCATATATTTGCTTATTGCTGATGAAAAACTTCATTTCCACAATTGATTCACAGCTGAGCACATCAAAAAACTGCACAGACCATAAAATAGGAATCACTGCTTTCCGAGCTGCTTTCACTATTTATGTTCCCACGCTTCACACCATCATTATCATGATCAATATGCACAGAATCCCGTATTTCGTCCAGGGCTGTAAGGGCCAGTATGCCAGTAAGGGGGCTCGGTCTCTACATATTTGTCATATCTCCACCATCTGCATGAACTATTTTTGAATTGTTGAGTGACTGAGTGACCGTGTCCCGTGAATTTCCGAATGTCGTGACTGAACTCAACTCACTACTCACTAAAACTAAACAAACTATGCCGCCGGCCGAGACTGCCGAGAGCACCGCCGAGAGGGAGCGAGGCTCAACTCATTAACGATTTTTAAGGTTATGTAGGTTTGACAGGAAAACAATTGAACTGAGTGTTTCCTCAAGTTGACCGTATGGCGGTACTACTGTATCGGCCACAGAACGCTGTAGGTGATTTCCCCTGTTTGGGCAGACCAGATACTCCAGCTCACTAGATTTTTTCTCCATATTTAGCAGACAATGTCACCAATTAACAACGTTTCCTAGGGAAATCACGGACCGAAGCAAAACACAAGCGTCTAGCCAAACCATTCAAATCGGTGGCTCTCTGAATTCCGAAGACGTAATAACGCAATACAAGAGGGAAAAATAATAAACAATCCAACCTGAGTCGGCCTAAATGAATTGAGAATTACTCAACAGCAAAAATAAAAAAGTTGACTATCACGGGAATTGCACCCGAGCTGCTGAAGTGGTAGTCAGATTCACAGCACACTGTACTTGAAAATTTTTACTACCTGTGAGATGCAATTCATAGTGTGGTTACTGCAATAGAGATGTTGCCGCACGCAATCAATAAATTATAATATTTTCGTGGATATCTTATTATTATTTTTATATTCAGATAAAATCAGAATAAAATCAAATAAATTGTTCTTGTTTTGTTAGGTATACATATATTTTGAAGTATGAACGCCAATTTCAGCAGAATATATTGAGGCTGTGGCAGAGCGGTAGTTCACACTCTGAAAACGGTAGATCTACCGCGAAAACGGTAGACCTGACAACACTGACCACCACAGTGAAACACAATAAGCATACTGTACCTATCTGAGTTCTTGAAAGCTGTCAAAGCGGCCTGTTTACTTTGTTTTCATTGGTTCACATATGTTTTTTTTTGTGCTGATTGGTCAAATCATCAAAACAAACCGTTCAGAGGTGTTCCAGTTGTTGCCGTCAGATAGGGCGACGTGTTATTTTCAATTGCCAATACTCCTATATGCAACCATTTGATAAACAATATGTATATCAGTGTCAGTACATGCACATTTGAAATGAATGCATGCTTATGTTTTGAACTGATATTGAAACATGCATAACTAGCATAATGACAGGTGATCAGATCATCATCCTTTTTAGCTAAGAGTTTTGCCTCTTTGTTGCCAAAAAAGATTTATTGTCAAAATTAGGGTATTAATGGAACATGATATATTATATTCTATATAAAAAAATATAAATCCAGAGGGCCCCTAGAGGTTCACCCAGGCCAATTCCTGTCCTTGTTTCAATGAGTTTAATATCTAGTACAATTGAATTATAAACCTCTACTTCAAGTTGAGGATCAACTTCCTGGAAGTATGCTACATTGAAAAAGGTTATAGTGGAATTTGAATCACATTTTTTAGGGCATCCAGATTGAAATCAGATATTCATTAAAAATGTACGGCAGATAGCCAGATTTGAGCCACAACATTTCCAGCAGTATGGACATCAATTACTTAGTGTGGTACTATCTAGATTCTAGACTGCTATATGTCATAGTAGTTCATGACATCAAGTCATGTCTCTTGGTGTTCAAAAACATAAGTAAGAGTGAGTAAGATATATGACAGGTCCAGTGAATGAGCTTTGATTATATTATGGCATTAGTGGTCTGGTTAGTCATTTATGTCCCTGCTTGATACCACAGGGTGATGGCCCCAATATGAAAGTTACCATTATTTTGTATTTTTATTTTTTCAACAAAATGTTATGCTCTCTATTTTTCAGTTGTATTACTGTTCAACAATATGATGAATGAAGTACATTGATTTTGAAAAGGTAATTTTTGTTCAATAGATCTTGGTACCTATCATCAAAATAAACTATTACACTTCCTTTATTGAACTAAAAACAATTCAGAAACAACATTTTTAATGCTTGTAGTTGAAAATTTTGCATATTATACAATAAGTTTGTGAAGTTATGTTGAAAAATGTGAAATTATAAATGATTCTCCTGCATTTGGATCAGAATTTGAGTTGACTATCCACAAGTGGGGATATGATATTTGGAATTAGATGAATATTTCAGATGATTGTGATTACACCAGAGGTGCAGAAAAAGTGGGGGTGCCATTCTCAAGCTATTCAAACAATTTATATATGGATAAAGGCAGACAAAATTATGTGCAAGAGTGAAATAGCTTTTTTCATAATTGTTCAAATTTGTATAGTAATGAAACCAAGAATAGTATCCCTGCAACTGTAAATGTCAGAATGTTGAAAATTTCTTGAAGAGAAAATATCAGGACCTACCCAATCTATAACCATTTTTAATGTGAAATTGTATTTACCAGCATTGTTCTTCTATATATGGTGATTGGAGTGGAGAAACAAATTCATCAGTGTGTTGAGAACTCCTTCTGCTACTTTTTGTGCTGTTGGTGCTGATAACTTCAACAGAGCTAGGGCTAGTCAAACTATTGCCTATTACTTCTACTGAATCAGAGGTTTCTTGTGGACCTAGTAAGTAATAGCAATTTTTAGTATTCTTTGTATCATAATCAATGGAATTAGGTAGTATTAAAGCATTAAAGTAATACTGAAAAAAAAAGTACACACAATATTTCCCAGAAGTATTTGCTCCAATAAAGAAATTCTTCACTATACATCAACAAAATCAAGATAACCATTGAATATAACAACCTTACTTTCCTGTTTAGTTTTCTTGAATAAAAAAATATTCAATTCCAAATACAAAGAAATAAATAAATTGTTTTCATACCAAGTGCTGAACTAGATGTAGATATTGACTGACCAACTGATAATATTTCTGATTCAGGACTTGTTGTACATTCTGTACTGCAGGTTAGAATATCAGCACTTTCAGAACTGGTTCTTCCACTTCCAGTGCTTATTGCTGACAACCTATTAACACATGTATTTATGGATTCTTGTTTTTCAGGAATTTGAACTGAGGGGATGGTGTCAATTTGATTCTCAGTACAATTCTCCCTATTGCCTGAAATGAAGGAAAAAATATCATTCAAAGCCTATACCTATTTACAAGTGAGAAATGATAGGTAGGTACCCACTCTGATAAAATTTCCACAAACCTAGGTTTATCTCCTCCAAGACCAATGACACCTGTAATTCCTTAGTACCTTCAGTTTGACTGTCACAGGCATCATCACCATCCTCACTATGTTGAACCACTAACTTGCTTTTACTAAAATTTTCATCACTAGCATCAACTGGGTCTTCCAGGCTTATGGAGTTTGATTTATCTTTGTCAATGCCAGAGTTCTCAAAAAATGATCCTGTGAATGATCCCCATATACTAGTTATTGTCTTGTCTTCTCTTGAGGGGCTGAAAATGATATCTTTGTTTATATTGATATCCTTTGGAGAGGCATTCCAAGTCTCGAAAAACTCAGTGGAACTGGGAACAACTTGAGTATTTGTTGGCACTGCTGATCCTTCTTCTTTAATATCTAATGCCTTGTCTATTGTCTTTTGAGCTTCTTTTAATGCCGATTTCGCTATATTTGCAAATCCTGCAGCATCAAACCAACTCATATTGGTTTATGATAATAATAGGTCACTAAAATTTCAAATGTTTACTACTTTTATTCATGTTGTAAAAATGTTGATCTCCATTTACTTTGAGTAGTATTTTCTCTATTATCAAACCTTAATTCTCAATTTCTTCAGACACATCCACATCATTAAACAGTTGATTGAGTTGATTATTCATTATTTATGATCATGAATATTCATGATTTGTTGATTTGATTGATAGAATTGACAACGATGTCAAGATTGTCAAATGTCATTTCGTTTCACCTACGTGAAGTGAGCTGCCAAAGCTGGCTGCCAGAATTTCCGAACTCTCCCGATCGACCAGTGGCACACGTTTCCCCCCTTTTTGGGTAGGGAATATCGAAATTCCTCAACTGCTTTTGTTTGCGATGATGCGATGAATATCTAATCCATTATTATCAAAATTGATTATAAGTGCCCTAGAGCCTACTTGAAAAAAATATTGTGAAAGCACTGCACAGCTGCTTTTGGGTCTCAAATCATTCTCTTAAGAATAATCATTCCTTGCCAAATCATAGGTATGAAAGACTATAAAATTTCAAAAGTATTTTATTTTCGATACTTTTGGCAAGAAACTGCTTAGCTGCTTTTGGGTCACGAAGATATGTAATCATGTGTAGAATCATGCTATCAGAAAATAATTCCTTGCCAAATCGTTTGGTAGACTCCACACGAAAAAAAAACAGATTTTTCGAAAATATTTTTTTCAGAAGTATCGAAAAAAAGTATTTTCGAAAAATCAGTTTTTTTCGTGTGGAGTCTACCATACGATTCCGCAAGGAATTATTTTCTGATAACATGATTCTACACATGATTACCTATCTTCCTGACCCAAAAGCAGCTAAGCAGTTTTTTGCAAAAGTATATGTAAAAAAAGTATTTTCGAAAAATCTGATTTTTCGTGTGGAGCCTACCAAACGATTTGGCAAGGAATTATTTTCTGATAGCATGATTCTCCACATGATTACCTATCTTCCTGACCCAAAAGCAGTTGAGCAGTTTTTTGCAAAAGTAAGCAGCTGAGCAGTTTTTTGCCAAAGTATCGAAAATAAAATACTTTTGAAATTTTAAAGTCTTTCATACCTATGATTTGGTAAGGAATGATTATTCTTAAGACTCTATAGAGAACGATTTGAGACCCAAATGCAGCTGCATGCAGTGCTTCCACAATGCTAATTATTGTTTTTTTTCTTCAAGTAGGCTGCTCTAGGGCACTTAATATCAATGTTGATAATAATGGATTAGATATTCTTCGCCGAGCTTATAACTGCATACATCGCATCATCGCAAACAAAAGCAGTTGAGGAATTTCGATATTCCCTATCCCTACCCAAAAAGGTGGGAAACGTGTGCCACTGGTCGATCGGGAGAGTACGGAAATTTTGGCAGACAGCTCTGGCAGCCCACTTCACGTAAGTTTTCGTTTCCAATGTCAATTGTCATCAAAATGACAAGTGACAACTCCTTGATTTCTGATTTGTTGATTTTTTCCAAGGCTATTCAACTCTATAAGGTTGCCTCATATTGACCTGGCCTGACGTCACTGTTTCCCCATCGTCTTTTGTCGAACGGCAAAAATGAAAATGGCGGAGGTGAAAAACAAAACAAACAAATTTAGCATTGTGCAATCAAGTGAATATTGATAAATTTTGATGTTTTCCAATATGTTTTTGTGTCCAAGAGATTGTTCACTGTTTTCCCAAAACATGCAGCAAGTACAAAAGACTGAAAGCAACAGAAATCTAGAAAGATAATATGTTATGTTCCTCAGTGCTCCTGTTGTACAGACACATTACAGAAACTCAGTCAAATTCTTATTGCAATACCACTCCATTAGGACTGATTACTGTTGGCATTAATAAGGATATGGAGGTTGAACTACTGATAAAGCATTTTTTAATAAAGAAAATGTTATTGGGAAGTCTGAACCTAATGATGAAATCATGGTGGATAAGGGCATGCTGACAAGGGATGTGAAGAAATATCTTGAAATTGATTAGGCCATCATTTCTGAGAAACAAGAAACAATTAACTAAAGAGGATTTCCTTCTGGATAAATTGAATGATTCTAACTCACTGGTTTTATTTCAGTATCAATTTGGAACATATTATTGTTTGAAAATGCAATAATAAGAAAATGAATTAATAAAGAAGTCATCACAATTCATTCCATTTTATTAATGCAATAAAAGTGCAACATAATGGAAATATCTTTGAGATATCTTCCTCATAACATTAACACAAAATGTATCACAAAAAAACTGGAATCTTTTTGTAAGTTTTGGAGGAAGAAGAATCATACAAGAAAATTAGTTTCTTTCAAGTTCATTAGGGACATTTTAGGGCCATTATTCCCAACTGAATTTATCCATAATAAGTGTGTCTCTCTTCCAACTTCACATTTTTTATACCATCTCCTATCAAGAAATGGCATTGTTCCACAAAATGTTCTGAACCTTTACCTAAAATTTTGAGAAAATAATTCAAGCTGAATGTAATACACATTATTTAACAAACCTCTATGTAATGACCTCAGTAAGGACACTTATTTCAATTATTTCCATGGTCTTCCTTCCTGAAAAATAATTTCATATTGAGAAAATCCTAACCATGGAAAATATTGGGACACAAATTTGTTTGCATGATTTGAAATTCAATATCATTTTCAATGAACATTTTGAAAGAGCTTTGGATTCATATTCAACTCCATGCTGAACAAATTTATTTGAAAAATCCTTTGGAAAGAAGAAGTTGATTGCCTTTTTTCCCAAGACTCCTTGCTACATGTAAAAATGAAGTAGCAAGTATAAGTAAAATTTAATAAACTCACCAGTGTTCCTGAGTACCATGCAATAGCTAGTTGTTTACATTGAGTTCATTGGCTTCCAAACAAAAACCAAAATAGACTGATATACCCTGTAAAATTAACTTCAATTATATAAAGGAAGAATGATTTTAGGGGGTCACTTTCCTTCTTTTAATAAGCAGGTAGCAGAACTATTGAAATGGTTTGGCTGTATAATAGATCATTGATTGATCTACTCTCTTTTTTCAATTTTCACCACTTCTGTTTGTTATATATGCAGCTTCACATATTCCAAGTCTTCATTCCTGAAATTTCATGTATTTTTTACCTGTGTGTGTGATAGAAAGTGCACCTTCCTACCTGTCAATATAAGTCCCTATAAAATGTGTATACAAAACCGTGACATGCCTGCTTCACAGGGACATTCACATTGCCACAGCTCATCATTTTCCTTTGGAATTATCTGAATCTCATGTGGAGGCTGCCAAACAGGCATTTCATAACATTTGTTTGTTCTATATCCACTCTTGACTCCACACAATAATATTATGATATTTATGATGTGACCAGCCTTGAATAATACTACACCATATTATTATACAACCTCTCACACTCTTTCAAAGATATCTTCAGTCTTCTTGTCATCCTGTTTTCAACTAAACTCTAAAATTCGCGATTCTTTCGAATTTCAATTCAAAAAATTTTTCAATTCATTTGACAGTGACACAAACGAAATCTACAATCACGTGGTGGGGAAACACTGACGTCACGCCCCTCCGCGCACCCCCGCACCATAATGCTATACTATGAGGCAACCTTATAGAAGTTAATAGACCTTGGATTTTTTCGAATTCGATTTGTGGTGATGTTTCAAATTTATATTTATTAAGCCACGAAGGGCAGGAAGTGTAATTGCTAGAGGTTCGATTTCCGAAAATAGGTGAAACAAACTGCAAAGGCAGAAGTAATGTCCTCAGTTACAGTGAGTAATAAATAATTTCTGATTTCTGATTCAACAATGGTAATTCCATTATCCACCTGATCACCAATGTTGATATTATTTTCTAGATGCCACTTCTTGATGATGATACTGTTGCTTTTGGCGAAGAAGAAAACGATATCAGTAGGAAAAATGCATTGCAGTAATTATGCTCATCAAATGAATAAACCATGTCTAGTATTAATTATTTTCTAGGCACCCCTATGTAACATTTTTCCACTTACTATTCAGAGGAGCTTCCATTGTCGTTTATATGCTGTGTGGTTGGTTTAGTAAGAGTTTCATAGCAAGTTTCATTTCAGTAGTATTGTTGCTGTCTATGGATTTTTGGACAGTGAAAAATATCAGTGGACGGCTGATGGTTGGACTAAGGTGGTGGAATTATGTAGATGATGAAGGAGCATCACATTGGGTTTTTGAATCAAAAAAGGTTTCTATAAATTTCATAAAACTATATTCTATACATCTGCAGTTTTACTATAGCTATGAAGGATATTGATTATCTTGAAGCCTCTGCATCTAGATTCTAGTAGCAGGTAGACCCTGATCCATGATGGCTTGTTTTATCAGTCTCTCATGATGATCATTCCAAACATGATTGTTAAACCTGCTGCTGAAGATAGGCAAGCACTAATTTAGGTACAATCTGGAATTTTTCAGGACCAGAGTCGTATTAGTGATAGAGAAGCTAGCATATTTTGGACTTCACTGGTTGCAACCCCATTGCTTTGGTCTCTTTTTTTCATAATTGCTCTATTCAGCTTTGAATTGAAGTGGTTGGTGAGTAGATATCTAAAATAGATTTTAATCTTGATTTTTGTTTTTCAATGATTTCTTCAATTCACTCATTTATTTCATATAGGTACAATTACCTAACAAGTGCGGAAAGTGATAATTTTCCGCACGTCTTAGTACACTATTTTTTCTACTAGCGTGCGGAAAAAACATTCCTTTTTTCCGCACTCATCATTTCGGTGTGGAAAGTTTTTTCAGCACCAGTTCGGAAAACTGACTTTCCACACTGAAATGAATGCGGAAAAATTTACTTTCCGCACGCTAGTAGAAAAATATAGAACCTACTTAGTTACACATATATGTATCAGGTTATCGTCCGCCATATTACATTTTTTGACAATTGACAGACGATGCAACTTTCATCATTTCCTGGTTCATCCGGAAGCGGCACCCAAAATAATATTCTGAGTGAACATTTGTGACATTTGTTATTATTTCCATTGAGATGTTTATAATTATAAACATCTCAATGTCCCTTGATGGAAATTGAAGTTTAACTTTAATGTCAATTACCATCAAGCAGGGACCCTAGGTATTGAAATTTATGAATTTTATTTTTTCCGTCATATTTCTTTGATGGAGAAATGCATAGGTATAGCTAGTCGAACAAATTTTCGGTAGGTATATACCTACTCTAGATTCTGAAGTAGTAAAATATGACAAAGAGGACAACTAGTTTTGCATTCAGAATATCATTTAAAAATAATGAAAGATACCTACATAATAAGGTGTCCTGTTTGAGGGTGGGAAGGTATGTCGTTCTTATTCTGATTCACCCTGTACATGACCATATTCACCATGTAGTTATATACCTACAACTATTCTCAAAAATTGTTTCTAACATGTAGTTATAATATCTTTCATCGTTCCCATTCTGATCCATCCTATAATTACAAAAAGAAGTTCAGCATTTTTTGAAGTCGATTAGTAGTTATTGTATATAAATCTCCGTTAATCCTATCTCCGTTCGGCGCTGGAATAGATCGCAGGCATACCGCGTGCACGCCTGCGAATCTCGCTGGCTCGACACAAGCAGTTGCCCGCAGGGGCTAGTTTATCAATAATAAAGCCACTTAGAATCCTTCAGAATAAAGTTGATGGTATATATAAATTGGATTATTTGGAACCAACAAGAAACCTTTATAAACCAAATGAAATATTAGATCTTCAATCAATATATAAATTCAAGATAATAACATTTGTTCATTCAGTCAAACACAATTATAAACATTCCAATTTGAATTTTAAAATCAATGCTAATATACATTCATATTCAACTAGACAAACAGACATGTTTTCCCTCATTAAAATCAAATCTGAATTTGGCAAGAGATCAATATATTACAATGGATTATCACTTTACAATGAATTGCCAACAAGACTTAAAAAAAATATCGATACCAAAAAATTCAAGAAAGAACTCAAAAAATATTTATTCGTCTGAATTTTGTCATGTCATCCATATTGAGATCATATAACATATCAATTATTTTAATCATTCATTCACTCAAACAAGGATCTGCTCAAACTATGAGAATTACTAGAATAATTATTATACCTATAAATACTATAATTTTGAATGTAATGTAATACATTATGGTTTATTTTTTTAATGTTCCCTGTTATAAACATATACGTCAATTGTTTCTTGGGAATAATAAAGATGATGATGATGATGATGATGATGATGATGAAGTCCTATTTTTAATGAGGGCTGTCCACCAAACCACGCCACTGAAACATATGAGGTCAGGGTTGGTAGAACTTCTTATTCTCCTGTCATTTGGATTCTTGCTATGATATATTCTTCTCCTCCAATGTAAGAATTGGTCATAAAGTTCCACATTTAAAAGAACCGTAAGACGGCTCATGTCTTTCCATAACTTGAGTTTTTCTATTTGTTCAAAGAACATTCTACATCATTTTTTTTTTTGATAGAACAGGTCATAGCTTCTAGGGCTATCCCACAAAATTTTGGGATTTTTGACTTAAAGTAGTGCCAACTGGTGAGAGTGAAAATGTTAGCCGTCATTGGAAAAAAATTATGATTTTTCATTACATAATAGTATATTCATTAACGAGCACGGAATGATAGTCAATTCGGAAATTAGCATTCGAGTTTTACACTATACTTTTTTTACGGCTGTAACAAATATGAGCGTTTATTTTTTTTATAATTTGACATGTCTTGGAAGATCAGATTTTTTTAAAATAAGAACATAAGACCTGTTCGTTTGTATTTCTGAACTTGCTGAAGTTTATTTGATTCTCAGTCGTCTCTGTTCATGGCATGATGTAAACAGAGAAAGTCAAAGGAAAAAATCAAGCAGGTAGAGCAAGCACAAATAACAGGCCTACAATAAATAAGTGATTGTGATATTAGATAGGGAAATAACATTGATATTATATAAAGTACCTCATTGATTTATCGAACATAGTAAAACGATAGCAATTTTGTGTTATAGCTGCAGAAAAAGCCTCCCTATTAATGGTAAATTGGATTCTAAATGTGTATCACTTTATATGAATTCAGTGACCCAGTGTCTATAATTTGACACCCTTTATTTATGCTATATACTCACTATTCAACTTCATAATCTTATGTCAACATTTTCAGCTTCTGGTGACTATTGCCTTAGTTTTGAATAGTTCAAACCTTTATGGATACATAAAATGTAAAGTGGGCAACAAGAACAGTTTTGGAACCATAACTTCCGATTTTTTTCGGAAACAAGTTATTCAGAACGCCGTTTCAATTGTTAGTCGACAAGCGTCCACTCCACAATCAAACATCCCAAGTCAACCAACTAACATAGTCTGAATATTTCCTGTATTCTATCCCAATTATCACTTGTAAATATTGTTTTATTATTATTTTTCTAAGAATAAAGTCTACCTATATATATATATGTATATATCAGGATTCTAATTTTTACATATACCCCATATATGATTGATCCTAATTCAATTCCATTTTATACAAAAACCACTATAGCGGAAATGAAAAAATGGGACACATAGAAATGGCACATATTATTTAGTATCTATCGATTAGACTTTCAAAAAAAATAAATGAAAATAACAAGTTTCGGACTGTGAAAAGTGCGGGGGCGGAGAATACTTATTCTTACTGCATTGATGAATGCCCAGCAAAAATATATCGCGCGGGTCTTTAGACGCCCTCCAAAACTGCCAACAGACATCAGCAGGCCACAATCGTGGTGCTTGATAACCTTAATTAGTTCTAGGAATCACGCCATCTAACATTCAATTTGTAAACCCCTCCTCATCTTCTGAAATTCAATTGTTTATTATATCATGAACCTACGAAAGCGTAGAAGCGCCACATGATATATTTTTTCACAATTGACTGATTCTATAACTGTCGACTAGCCTAGTTGATAGATACTAAAAGTGGTAAGATTTCCACCATGGTGGTAAGTAGCCTATTGACAGATACTTAGTGTTAACTAGTATACTTGACATATACTTGTGTGTCAACTAGCCTAATTGACAGATACTAAGTGGTAATAAGTAGCCTACTCGACAGAGATAGTAAGTGGTAACTAGTATACTTGACAGATACTTAAGTGGTAACCAGCCTAATTGACAGATAAATAGTAAATATTTGATTACACAACAAATAATAACATTAGTATTGAGACTTATTATTCATATTATTAGCTACCATGCCTCCCTCCGCTCAGTAAACCATTTTGTGTTTCTGAAACGTTCCTGAAACAAACTGTGAAATATGAAACATTTCACCTATATACTCCGAAACATTTATGAGACATTCTAGAGACCCTAAATGACCTAGTGTGTGTAATGTTTCATTGAAATGTTTAAACCCCAATCTCCATGGAATATTTAATAAACAGTATATACATGAAACGTTTCACAAATAGTGTCTTTGAAACATTTCCTTATCGCACTATTTGCAACATTTCCAACATGACTTTTTTGAAACATTTCTGATACATCTCGCTTTTGCTGATACTGGCACATTGAAACCATTTTTAGTTCATACCAAGACTACATTATCACAGCAGTTAATTGAGATCACTTATTCATAATGAAGGTGAACCCTAATTAACATCGTGTGTAAAGTAGTCAATTAGTATTATTAATATAGGTAAATGGAAAAAAAGAAGGGTGACTATAAAATAAAACTGCAGTTCTAATCTCTGCCCATTTGAAGCATAGCTGTCGTAGGTAACGAAATCGACCAATAGGCGTTGATGCCGACGTAGGGAAAAAATAATACGACAATATCGCTACTAATTTAAACTTTTCCATCCTTCACTATAGATTCAGAAAGTACCTCTCATTTTGGTCCCATTTTTGTTGGGATATCCATATGGGCTGGGCGTTCCAATGAACGGTGCCAAAACAGAAGAAGAATGATCATAACCACTTCTTTAAGCATTTCAAGTTTTTCAACATAACCAACAAAGTTGACTGAACTGAAACGAGGAAGACGCGAGAAGCGAGGAAAGCGTTTTACAATCACATTGTTTGATAAGTAATTTTTTCTTTTTCCCTCAGTGAAGCGATAATTTCGCCGAGAGGTTGCATCTTTTTTGAATCGCCTTGTCTTCGAGAATTGAATAAAATGGTAAGTTATCAATTCCTTCTGAAATAGTTATTGTTCAAATGTTAATACTCTTTATAGGCTGAAGAAGTAAATCCAAAGGCTTACCCATTGGCAGACGCAACTTTAACAACTAAAATATTGAATTTGGTGCAACAAGCCATGAATTACAAGCAACTCCGAAAAGGGGCTAATGAAGTGACCAAAACTCTCAATCGTGGTATTGCTGAATTCATAGTAATGGCAGCAGATGCTGAACCTTTGGAAATTTTGCTACATTTGCCATTATTATGTGAAGATAAAAATGTGCCATATGTATTCATCAGATCCAAACAAGCACTAGGACGAGCATGTGGTGTTTCCAGATCTGTTATTGCTTGTAGTGTAACTATCAATGAAGGATCTCAGTTGAAGCCTCAGATTCAAACAATTCAGTTGGAAATTGAGAGACTATTAGTGTAAGATATTTAAGTATTTACAAAACATTTTGTATTTTTTCATCAGCTTGTTCAAGATAGTATGTAAAGGAATTAAAATTAGCTTGGTGTAATAACATTTTTTCAACTTACCATCCAAATTATATCTAACCCTCAGCATAATTGAATGTGAAATTTTCAGGTTCATTACTGCTGGATTTATAGATCCAACTAATGACCTTTACAAATTCTTTATTATGATTGTATCCAAAAATATTCAATTAGATAAATTCTCTAGGTGATAAATACACAAACCTACAGATAAAGAATGAAACTACTAACTTTTCTGATAACCCACATCTTTAATTTTGTTGAAATCTTTATTCAGCAGAATCATGCAGAAAAAATACACTCATTTGATGAATTTAGATATCATGGGATGGAATAAGGTGATTTAACAAAGTGAACTTTCACTGAGTAAATATTGGCTTAGCCAAATTATTCCAGTTTTCTCTCCACCCTAAACGCTGGAAAACTTTCAATTCCTCCTTGAATTTCAACTCAGTTTCTTGTTGGTTATGATCATTTGGGAAGTTGTTGAACCAATTATGTAGCTGCTTAGATAGCTCCCCAGAAGATTTAAATGTGTAACCATTTTTCTCATGTAGAACTAATTCATGCAAACTAAAATACATATGTAAATAATTATAAGTGTCAGCATTCTGATATGTATATAAAATGAAATAATGAATGTAAAAACTAAGTTACCTACCAATTAAAATCATATGCACATACTGGCAATGCACAGCCAAACATATCAACAACCTTCATTGGCAAGTCCAATCCACTGGAACTAGTATGTAAAGATACTCCTAAATCAGCACATGCTAATATTAAGGGATATTCACTGGATTCTAGCCATGGAGTTATGACAGTTACATTTTTCCATTTACTATCAGCTACCTTTTTACAGTAGTAATCTTTTAAATGACCTTTACCTGTTATGAAGCATACCAATTTGGGTAGTTTTCTGTCATTCCCATTTGATATATGATCTTCATAATCTGTTGGTAAAAGCTTATGGTCAACATTTGATGGAATTATCCATGATGAATCGAATAATATTACCTTGCAATGCTGACAACAGGATAGTGAAATCTTCATCTTCTGTCCAACTTGTACTGGATACTAATACACCAGGTCTGGATGATTTCAGAAAAACTTTGCCATTTACTTTCTCTGTGAACAAAGTAGAGTTTTCTGTACAAACCAATTGGTGATACTTTTTTCCTAACTGAATCAGGAAATCATGTTTTTCTTCTACAGAAATTGATCTGAATATGTTTGATGGTCTATCATACAAGGTTATGGCACTGAAATATATTTAAAATTCTCCATGTAATACTGGGTCAATAGGTGAAATAATATACAAACCTAATACCCCATTGTTTGTATAGGTCTGTTTTCATAGCATTAGTAACACAAAAATTGTGATCTGCTCTTTTTCCAACAAATATCTCAACTTTTTTAGTGATTTTCACTAATATATTCTCACTGGAATGATTCAGAGCCATTATAGTATGAGCATAATTATGCCAGTCTATAATGAATTTACTGCCAACAGCTCTGCAGAATACCCAACAAATCAGGATAGCAGGTATTGCTGGTGGATTTTGCAAGACAAGAAAGTCAGGTCTTCTATTAACCAGAAGTAGAAATAATAAAGTGAGTGCTTGCCATACAGTTTTGAATGCATAATTGATAATCTTCAGTGGAATGACAGGGCATTGAACCAAATAATGATACTGTATTAGTGGAGCTTCCTTAACTTCAATCATGGGGCTAGTTTCGCCATAACCAAAAACATCTACTTTATGGCCCATTTCTGTGAGTGATAGAGAATGATACTGCATCCTAGGGCTCCTGCCAATATCACCCAAGACCACTATGGCTACATTTTTGCTTTCTTTTAATTTTTCCATTGTTATATTTCTATGCCTGCGTGAGATATCAAGATAACAAATTGATTGAATCTCTAAATTAGGTATAGATCATAGTAGAATTCCACTATGGTATAGATGAATAATAAAATTGAAATCAAGAAATAACAACAAATCCAACAATCCAACAAAAGTAGCGCCTGGGGACTAGTGGGGACTGGGGAATATTTGTAATTTTGTATAAACTGTCAAAGTGTCAAATGAAGGATCTTCTGTTCCAAGGCTATTCAACTCTATAAGGTTGCCTCATATTGACCTGCCCTGACGTCACTGTTTCCCCATCGTCTTTTGTCGAACGGCAAAATGAAAATGGCGGAGGTGAAAAACAAAACAAACAAATTTAGGATTGTGCAATCAAGTGAATATTGATAAATTTTGAAGTTTTCCAATATGTTTTTGTGTCCAAGAGATTGTTCACTGTTTTCCCAAAACATGCAGCAAGTACAAAAGACTGAAGACAGAAATCTAGAAAGATATGTTCCTCAGTGCTCCTGTTGTACAGACACATTACAGAAACTCAGTCAAATTCTTATTGCAATACCACTCCATTAGGACTGATTACTGTTGGCATTAATAAGGATATGGAGGTTGAACTACTGATAAAGCATTTTTTAATAAAGAAAATGTTATTGGGAAGTCTGAACCTAATGATGAAATCATGGTGGATAAGGGCATGCTGACAAGGGATGTGAAGAAATATCTTGAAATTGATTAGGCCATCATTTCTGAGAAACAAGAAACAATTAACTAAAGAGGATTTCCTTCTGGATAAATTGAATGATTGTAACTCACTGGTTTTATTTCAGTATCAATTTGGAACATATTATTGTATGAAAATGCAATAATAAGAAAATGAATTAATAAAGAAGTCATCACAATTCATTCCATTTTATTAATGCAATAAAAGTGCAACATAATGGAAATATCTTTGAGATATCTTCCTCATAACATTAACACAAAATGTATTACAAAAAAACTGGAATCTTTATGTAAGTTTTGGAGGAAGAAGAATCATACAAGAAAATTAGTTTCTTTCAAGTTCATTAGGGACATTTTAGGGCCATTATTCCCAACTGAATTTATCCATAATAAGTGTGTCTATCTTCCAACTTCACATTTTTTATACCATCTCCTATCAAGAAATGGCATTGTTCCACAAAATGTTCTGAACCTTTACCTAAAATTTTGAGAAAATAATTCAAGGTGAATGTAATACACATTATTTAACAAACCTCTATGTAAGGGCCTCAGTAAGGACACTTATTTCCGAGCTTATTTCAATTATTTCCATGGTCTTCCTTCCTGAAAAATAATTTCATATTGAGAAAATCCTAACCATGGAAAATATTGGGACACAAATTAGTTTGCATGATTTGAAATTCAATATCATTTTCAATGAACATTTTGAAAGAGCTTTGGATTCATATTCAACTCCATGCTGAACAAATTTATTTGAAAAATCCTTTGGAAAGAAGAAGTTGATTGCCTTTTTTCCCAAGACTCCTTGCTACATGTAACATGTAAAAATGAAGTAGCAAGTATAAGTAAAATTTAATAAACTCACCAGTGTTCCTGAGTACCATGCAATAGCTAGTTGTTCACATTGAGTTCATTGGCTTCCAAACAAAAAACAAAATAGACTGATATACCCTGTAAAATTAACTTCGATTATATAAAGGAAGAATGATTTTAGGGGGTCACTTTCCTTCTATTGAAATGGTTTGGCTGTATAATAGATCATTGATTGATCTACTCTCTTTTTTCAATTTTCACCACTTCTGTTTGTTATATATGCAGCTTCACATATTCCAAGTCTTCATTCCTGAAATTTCATGTATTTTTTACCTGTGTGTGTGATAGATCAAAAGTGCATCTTCCTACCTGTCAATATAAGTCCCTATAAAATGTGTATACAAAACCATGACATGCCTGCTTCACAGGGACATTCACATTGCCACAGCTCATCATTTTCCTTTGGAATTATCTGAATCTCATGTGGAGGCTGCCAAACAGGCATTTCATAACATTTGTTTGTTCTATATCCACTATTGACTCCACACAATAATATTATGATATTTATGATGTGACCAGCCTTGAATAATACTACACCATATTATTATACAACCTCTCACACTCTTTCAAAGATATCTTCAGTCTTCTTGTCACCCTGTTTTCAACTAAAGTCTAAAATTCGCGATTCTTTCGAATTCAAATTCAAAATTTTTTCCAATTCATTTGACAATGACACTAACGAAATCAACAATCACGTGGTGGGGAAACACTGACGTCACGCCCCTCCGCGCACCCCCGCACCATAATGCTATACTATGAGGTAACCTTATAGAAGTTAATAGACCTTGCTTCTGTTCATCCTTGTTAAGGTGGCTATAATTGACTGGTGTGTCAAGTCCGTATCCTCAAGCGTGCCCAAAACCTCTCGATCAAATAGGCAACCAGCCCACTTGATATTACAATATTCCAACCAGGTCTCCTACCGACAAGAGTAAGTTCGCCAAACTGTCACGGGGGGCGCTATCTCTGACTTCAGAATGGAGCGAATTGCAGCGTTGCCAGTAGGCGAAAAAATTCCCTTACTATAAGAAAATTCAAGTCCATCGAGGAATCAGTAATATGCAGAAATTTAACCCAAGTTGTGTCAGGAGAATGTATTAATAATGTTTTTTTCTTCATTCTATACTCATGTTCAGGAATGTTTCAATCCAAAAATTCAGTATCATGCTTTAACATCAGTGGTATTGTGGATCCCTCTTATTTTTATCATTTCTATTCATATATTCACTAAATTCACATTGGATTTCAGGCTGTGAGTTGGTCATTGTTATACCAACATATCAAAAATAATCTAGTTCAATTGTGGTGCACATAATGAGAAATGATTGATATACATGCAAAATAATATCTCTGATATGTATATATTGGAATCCATGATACATTTTTTTATATACACAGTTCATGAGATTCGGACTGAATTCTGATACCTTCTCTTTATTAAGTATGTTGAATATATATGATAGGTACTCAATATATCATCGATTATCTCTGACATTTGAGAGTTTCTGTTCGTTAAAAATAATTAGGTAATGTAGGTAACCAACTTTTGACATCTCGAGATAGGTAAATGAAGTTTCATGTTTATTTATATATATATATATATTCCTGCCATTCTGTTCTTATTAGATCACTTCCTTCTCCTCGCAATAGAGCGAGCTCGATTCCCAATTCTTCAATCACTATCGTATCTTTAATTCAATGGAAAATACACGTCGGCTCTCCTGGCGGCGATGACTAACCTAACCAAGGTCATAAAGCTAGAAAGTCGGTGCCAGGCAAACTTCTCGCGTAAAAAAGTTCGCTGTTTGACAGAACCACATGAATTTTCAGAAAATAAATGAAAAATTCTTGCTATATTATCATCATACCATACACTTTGGCAAACAGTAGTGGTAAAAACACTAGCATTAATGTAAAAAAAATGGTTTCTAGAGGAGATATACCCGAAATTCAACTGAACTTGGCAGTCGTACTGCCATTACCAACTTTTCCATGTGAACAGTTAGCCCGTTTTATTCAAGCTCTCTGCTATAATGCAACGCGCCATGAGCGCAACCAAAAACCGAATATAAAAAGAGTAAATAGACCGCTTTGATAACTTTCAGAAACCCACATAGAAAATAATATGCAAATTCAAATGATAACGAAATCTTGGATGAATCAGCGTACATACATTGGATGAATACACTTTTTATTTCACACATAAAACATGAGATAGAATATATATGTATAGATATACATATTTATATTTAATGAATGATGCATTAACTAATCTCACAAAATATCAGTCGATTCATGATTATTCGAAAATAGTTTAGTGGATGGAATTCGGACTAAACATTAATTTAAGATATGGCAACGCTGGTTGGCAAATTCTCTGATTCCAAATGTCATTGTCTCTTGTCAATAATTAAATTTATAAGAAAAATAAAGATGATGATTTTCAATTCGAATATTTTTAAATTATCAGTGATACAAACATGAAACAACGGTAAAAGTATTATTAATTGTTCTCGCTGTGTGATTAATGTGATTAGTGACTACACAAATAGTGCATAACTGTTCAAAAAGCCCAAATAATCGGCATGGCGGCAAGTAGAAGGTACTCATCATTATTTGGTAAGTATTAACATTTTCCTTTATTATTATTACTACTATTTAATTGCTACGAACTGTGGAAGTGGTAGTTGACTTTTTTGTGCCTAAAATTCAAATTGTTGTGACGAAGAAGTGTACAATCACATTAAGATACTCAAAATCTTCTGAAGTGTTGGTTGAAGTGATACAATCAAGAATTATCGGACTTTAGGTATTGAAGTAATGATACCAAGTACATAATACCCGAGCAGGTACCTCTACAACTGGTACAACTGTTAGTTGAGTACCTACATAATTCATCAAAACTTGGGCTGAAATTATCTAAGACCTGAGCCAATTTTCAAAGCAAATTTCATGTTGATCACTGTATATTAATAATTTATCAATTTATAAGTATATCAGGTGGTCCATCCAAAATGTACCACAAGTTATTACAGGCTGAGAAAGAACTTCTCAAGGAAATCAAAAAACACCTCAAGTTTGTTTGTTAGGGGGACAACTTTTGATGCAAACAACATAGCAAAACCTTCAATCCTCTGAGTGGAGGGGTTATATCCCTTTTTTCAATAGGAATAGGGGTAGAGTTGTGCCTCATGGAATAGGATTTGTTATCTCCTATACATTGTAGTTGTTTTTGAAGATTGATTTACTTGTTTATAAAATATGAAGCTTAGAAATACCAACATGTGATGAAAAATTCCGAGAAAAAATCTATAAACCCATTTCATTTTGCTTAAAAGTTTTAACACTTCATACACAAGTCAGAAGACAACTTAACTAGCAAATACCTGGCCTATCTGAAGGTAAAGCCCAGGGTAAAGTACAAAAACGATTATTTTTCATTCACAGAAATGATTATTTTTTATTCACAGAAACAAGCCTAAAGAATCTAAAAAGTAAAGTACTCATCTGAATTCTGAATGAAAGATTGATAATTTTTTTTTCAAGAATCTGGAACAATATCAATGCAATTTTGCCA